TGTATAATTGTATTTAAATTTTTGTATGTCCTCCACCTTTATATCGGCTTTAGTTTTGGCTTTGATATAAGCCGAGATATCAATCTCTGAAGTATCATGGGCAAGCCGAGAAACAAATATATGTTTCGATGGAGGAATCACCTGTAAGGGTTTTGGTGTCGCAGGTACAAGAACTGCAGCATCAGTCGGTGCCGGTGGTCCGGACTGTGGAATACCCTTTTGGGTGACCCTAATGGGGGTTTCGTTCCCTAGGACCTGTGGCATCACTTGAAGGGATGCCATGGCGGACATATCGGACAATTGCTCATTATCCCTGAGAAATTCTGACGAATTTTTCTCAGTTAAGGCCCTTGGGGTGGCCAGAGTTATAAGCGGCTGCATTAATGTCGGCTGAGCAGGCTGAGGCGGATCAGAAACAGCGGATTTCTTACGCTTAGGGGACTCATTTAGCAGCTGAAGGCCACTAAATTGAGTGTCAAGCGCACAGAGCTGGTCATTGATTTTACGAAAACCAGTGATCAGTTCTTTAAATCCATTTTTGGTCTGTCTCATGAACGACCTCATTTCACCTCGCACAGCACGACAATTTTCGCAACAATAATGTATCCCAGACCTACGGGAAATGGCATCCGAAACTGATGCAGTGAAACCGGCACACTTGGCGTGCACGACGTTTTCACATAACCAGCAATGGATACTAGGCTGGGATGTGGAAATCGTCTTGTTGCAAGACTTAATGGCACAGACCAGTTTAAATTCCATTTTGTTTATTATTATTATTTTTTTTTTTTTAATTTAATAAGACAAAAATTAATATTTAAAAAGTTAAAAAACACAATACCTTGAACCACTGTGCCAAACAAGAAGCCGAAGCGGGAGCTTTGAAAGAGTGCACAAGAGAAATGCAGAAAATATAGATAAGCCGGGGAAGAAGCAGAGCTGAGCTATGCTTGGAATAGAATTTAGACAAATTATTAATTCGATTCCAAATATACCAAAGCACTCGCGAAGCGATACGGTTTAGGCTTTAAGATTGTTATGATTCACAAGATTTAATTCACAAAGTATGTAAACACCGGTTTACCAATATTTATCAAAAACGCAGTGCGCACAAAAAAAACACGACCGTTCGCTTGAAAGAAAGAGAGGGAAAAAAAAAAAAAAAAAAAAGAAAAGAAAAGAAAGATACAAAGAACGTTCCATTTGAATGGACTGATGAATGTCAACATGCATTTGAATATCTCAAAGATCAAGTAGTTAAACCAACTCTGTTAAGGGGTTATATACAGTTGTACCGCGCAAAAATATGGATTTTTATCGATTTTTTTTTGACACCATAGAAAATATTTATGAAAAATGTTTTACCGACATTGTTTAGTTCATGTTTCTGGGTACTTAATTAAATTTTTTCATAAAAAAATATTACATAACAAAAATGTTATAGCCGAATTCCCGGATCGTCTTTTTTCGATGGTGTCTTGCGGTGGACATGATTTCTCGAAAACGGTTCATCCGAAATCCAAAATTCAAAAAAGTTTTGTTATTATATTGTATTGTCTAGTCCGTGAACGAGGGATTTTTAAAAATTTTGATTAAAAAAAAAATGGCGACGTTTTTAACAAAAAATGTACTTTTTCAAGGTATAAGATTTTCGTTTTTTGTGCTTTAAAAAAGGAGTTTTCAAAAAAATTTAAAATCCCTCGTTCACGGACTAGCTAATATCATAATAAATAAGTGGTCAAAATTTGGTGTTGATCGGATTAGTAGTTTTTTAGTAATCGTGTCCACCGCAAAGGTAATTTCCCAAAAAAAAGATTCTGAGATAATCGCGTTTAAAGTTTCAAGTTTGTTCAGGATTAATATGCAGATAGTGCGCTATACATAGCTACAGCTTCGGTTCTAATGCTCCGATCGTTATGAATTTTTGTGAGAGTATTCCCAATAAAATATACTTAAAGAATATGCAATAAAAAAAAAATCGATTTTTTCATATATCACAACTGTATATAACCCCTTAAAGTACCCAGATTTTATAAAAGAATTTCGTATAATCACAGTAAGAAAGCTTGTGGTGCAGTGCTAACACATGACAACAATGGAGTTTAACTTCCAATCGCCTATGCATCAAGAGGGGAAAGTAACAAGAGTACAACAGAATAAATACTTTCATTCATTGGGCAATCACTTATTTTAGACCATCTACGAGGGTAGGCTGATAAAAAGTGGGATTTACAATGACACAATTTTTTTTTAAATTCGTAAATATTTTATTTGATTAGTGTTTTCTATCAGATGATTACTGTGAAAGTTTTATCAACACTGGTAATTTTGGTGGGACTTTTAGCGCATTCTTTTTTGCGTTGTCGTCAACATGAATAAAATTAAATATCGTGCTGTCATAAGATTTCTGTTTTTAAAAGATAAATCCAACGACGATATTAAAAAGGAGTTAGACAAAGTTTATAATGATTCAGCTCCATCGTTTTTAACAATAAAATATTGGACTGCTGAATTTAAACGCAGAAGGACAAGCATTTTTGACGTCCCAAAGAGGTAAAAACACCAGAAATTGTGGATAAAGTACATGGAATGATATTGGATGATCGCCGAATCAATCTGCTAGAGATTGCAAGTGCTCTTAACATTTCTCGGGAACGCGTTAGAAGCATTTTACACGAGTTTTTACACATGAGTAAGCTTTCGTCAAGATGGGTGCCGCGATTGCTCACAATGGAAAATAAACGCAACGATTTGCACATTGCGAAGGAGAGTTTGCCCGAAACAGTTTGCCCTTAACCCAAACAAAAACGAATCTTTTCGTCGTTTTGTGACTGTTGTCGAAACCTGGATTCATCACCATACACCAGAGAGTAAGGAACAGTCAAAGCAATGGATTTCAACTGCAGAAACGGCACCGAAAAAGGCAAAGATCGTTTTGTCGGCCAACAAGGTGATGGCAACGGTTTTCTGGGATGCCCGAGGTTTAATTCATGTGGATTATCTGGAAAAAGGCAGAAAAGTTACGGGAAAATACTATTCCAATCTCTTGGGACGATTTGATTCGAAGCTGAAGTTTTCTTCAGGCCGCAAATGGCGAAGAAAGAAGTTTTGTTTTACCAATACAATGCTCCTGCTGTTGTCGGCATGTCGAAATTGTATGAATTGCACTACGAAATTCTACCCCATCCAACCTATTCTCCAGATTTAGCACCCTGTGACTATTATTGATTTCCAAACTTAAAAAAGATTGCTTGGGGGTAAGAAATTTCAGTCAAATGAACAGGTAATCTGTGAATCAAACGCCTATTTTGAGGACCTGGACAAATCCTATTTTATGGAAGGGTTGGGGAAACTGAAGGATCGGTGGTCCGAGTGCGTACGTCTAAAAGGAGATTATGTTGAGAAATAAAAAATCAAAATTTAAAAAAAAAAAACGAATTTTTTTTTGTAAGGCCGACTTTTTATCAGCCTACCCTACTACGAAGTGTGTTCAAAAAGTAAGGTGACTTTTCAAATTTCGCGGCGATTTTTTGCTATTGAAAAATATGGATCAAAGAATTTGCATCAAATTTTGTGTAATAAATGAAATTCGGTGAAACTGTTCTGAGTAAAAAAAATGTTTACAAGTGGTACAAACTCTTCCAAGATGGCCGAAAAAGCACGCCAAGTTCGATCAAATGCCAAAGTTTTGATCACTGTTTTCTCCGATTACCATGGCGTGGCGCATCAGGAGTTCTTACCATATGGTCGTAGGGTCAACAATCAGTATTATCTGGAAGTTATGCGCCATTTGCGAGAAGCAATACGAAAGAATTGTGGAAAAAGAATTCATGGCTTTTGCGTCCTTTGGGGCTTTTGCCCCTGCTCACTCATCTTTGCTAGTGAGAGATTTTTTGGCCAAAAATAACACCACAATAATGCCTCAGCCACCATATTTACCGGATTTGGCCCCATGTGACTTTTTCTTGTTCCCAAAACTAAAGAGATCTATGAAAGGACATAGATTTGCAACTATTGAAGAGATAAAGACTGCATCGCTGGAAGAGCTATACCAAAAAGGCTATGCTTATTGGAAGTGAGTTGAGGATTGGAAAAACCGTTGGCATAAGTTTATTGTATCTGAGGGGGATTACTTTGGATTAAAAACTTTTTAGTTTTCAATGACAAACTGGAGACTTGAATTAGAGTACAGTAGAGTTTTTCATTAGAGTACCTAAGAGGCAAAAACAATTTCTTAGCAGACGCTTTATCACGGATAACAATATCTGATTTTAAAGAATTACATAATAAAGTCGTGAAAGTCACTTCTTTACGCAGAAAACAAAAAAACACATATTTCAAAAACACGAAAGTTGCGTCATTTCCGATCGTTCATTTATATGGCAGCTATAGGATATAGTCGCCCGATCTTTATGAAATTTGGTGGGTCGTATTATTTTGTCAAAAAAAGCAAATGCGACTTTAACTATAAATGCCAAGGAAATCTACAGAAAAGCTTCTCATCCCAAGTTAAACATGGTAAAAAATAATTGCAAGAATAGATATTGGTGATTTATATACTAATGGAAATATTTACTAAGGACTATTTCCAAGGCTTGAAAAATAAGCCAGTATTTTAAATATACGCCAATTGAAAATGGTACCGTGTCACAATACAAGAAAAGGCACAATAAAGTGATACTCCTACACGACAACGCCCGGCCTCATGTTGCCAAGGTCGTAAAAACTTACCGCAGAAATGGGACGTTCTATCCCACACGCATTTTTTTTCCTTGTTGCTCCTCTCGGGAGCTTAGGGCCTCTACAAGGGCTCTCCACCTAATTTTATTTGGCGCTGTTTGTTTTATCGTGTCCCAGCTGATGTTTTCCCGGGATATTTCTAGGAGTGCTGTACGGCGCCAGGTCATCTTTGGGCGACCCACTCTTCTGCTTCCTTGTGGGTTCCATTCCAGAGCCATTCTTACGATGCTTCCTGGTTCCTTCCTCAGAGCGTGGCCAATCTATTTCCATTTCCGTTTCTTTATTTGTTTCTGGATTGGGACCTCTCCTGTGCAGTGCCATAAGTCCTCATTGGATATTCTGTCTGGCCAGAATACCCCAAGTATTATTCTCAGGCTCTTGTTGATGTAAGCTTGCAGCTTCATCAATATCTTTTGAGAGGTCAGCCACGTCTCCGACCCGTATAGCAGTATGGATTTTACACAAGAGTTGAATATGCGCAGCTTTGTTTTTCTGTTTATCTGCTGGTTTCTCCATACTCGGTGTGGTCTTTCAAATGCAGACCTCGCTTTGCGCAGTCGGTTCTCCACATCACTTTTCACTCCACCATTTGATGTTATGATAGTGCCAAGGTAGGTGAAGCTGTCGACGAAGTCGATGGTTTTATCTCCGATTGTGATGTTGTTTGTGTTGAAGGTGTTGATCCGCATAGCTTTCATTTTTGATGCGTTGATCTTTAAACCTACTGCGCTGGCTCGGATCTCGAGGTCCCTAGCTTTGGCTTGAATGTCTTCGAATTTGTGAGCCAAGAGACATATATCATCCACGTAGTCCAAGTCTTCTAGATGTCGGGTGAAGTTCCAAGTGATTCCGCGTCTGTCCATGCATACTTCTCTCATAGTTTCGTCGACTACCAAGTTGAACAGAGTCTTTTAAAACCCAAAGATAATTTCGCACACTGGATAAACGAAGATGCAAAGTCAAAGTCCGATCTCATTTTGGCCATGTCAACATCGGAACTTAGGCATACGAAGAATTGCGAAACTGCAAATGATATATGGGTAAAGCTGCACAACACTTACCAATCTACGGGACCAGCCCGTAAAGCTGCACTGTTGAAATTGCTGATCTTACTGAAAATGAATGCAGGAGATATGAGAAGCCACATAGATAAGTTTTCCGATTTAGTTGACAAAATAAACGAAGTTAATCTCCTGAATATCGACGGTCTGTTAACCATCTTGCTACTATACAGTACAGTATACCAGAGGAGTACGAACAGTTTCGAATTGCAATTGAAACTCAGGAAAACTTAATATCAACAGAAGCACTAAAAATTAAGTTAATAGACGAATTCGAGGCAAGAAACAGAGATCCAAGCGAGTCGACGCCTGGAGCCTTATTGGTGCACTAGAAGTAAGCCGAAACAACTAAGCATTTATCAAAAGTTTAAGTTTAAATGTTACAGCTGTGGAAAAGTCGGTCACCTTGCAGCTGAGTGCAGATTAAAGCCAATGAAGAACCAGAGCGAAAGCATGTACATCAACATAGCTAATTATACAAACTTATAATATATAAGTGATTGCAGTAACTGGTGTCTAGACTCTGGAGCAAGGTCACACATGTGCTCACAGAAAAATATGTTCGAGACCCTGGAGCCAGCAGAAGGCTCGAAGCTCAGACTGGCAAATGATGAGGCCACAGATATAAAAGGATGTGGATCCGTGCAGTTCTTCCAAAACAAATTAACGGCCAGCCTGTATGTGCCGGATTTAAGAACCAATCTTTTATCGGTCTCCAAAATATGTGATCACGGCTTGATCATGTAATATTCAAGAAAGAGAAAGCTGAGGTAGTTAGAGCTAAAGGAGGAGAATTAGTTTTTACCGCTCCTCGCAAGTTGGACTTGTACCAGATCGAGGAAAAACACGAAAGCAGCCAGATCGCTATAAGTAAGCAAAACAGCATCAAAGAATGGCATGAGCGTTTCGGCCATCTAAATGAGCCGGATCTGAAAGAACTGATCGGAAAAGGCAAAGTTCAAGGAACTAAGGTAAACCTAAAGGAGAGTCTCCCAATTTGTAAAATATACATCATGGGGAAGCCGTCCCAGAAGCCGTTCCCAGTATCAAATTCAAGGGCAAGGGATGTGCTAGAATTAATCCACAGCGACGTATGCGGGCCCATGCGTGTAAACAGCCACGGAGGCAGCCGGTATTTTCTGACATTTACAGACCTCTGCGACCTCTACACTATAAAAAATAAATCAGAAGTGTTCCAAAAATTTAAAGAATTCAAGAACTACGTAGAACGACGAACTGGAAAGAAGCTCAACACAATCAGGTCAGATAACGGCACAGAATACACCAATAATGAGTTCAAAAATTACCTTGCAGCTCAAGGAATAAAGCACGAGTATTCCGTTGAATATACACCTCAACAAAACGGTACAGCCGAACGTAAAAACCGAACCCTTGTAGAAATGGCTCGCTGTCTCATGTTACAGGCTGCACTGCCTGCGAGCTACCGGGCCGAAGCAGTAAACACAGCTAACTACATAAGAAACAGATTTCCTTCAAGAAGCCTATGTGGAGAAACGCCTTTAAAGCTGTGGAACAATCGCATCCCAGTTGTGAAGCATTTGCAGGCGTTTGGTTAAATTGCTTACTCACTGGACAAACGATCTAAGAGTAAGTTCAGCTCAAAATCCAGGAAATGTTTTTTCGTTGGATACTGAAGCGATGCCAAAGCTTATAGGCTGTATGCAAATCTTATAGAAAGATAAATTGTCGAAAAGCTCGATTGGTCGCAAAAGGATTTACACATCGCGAAGGTATTGATTACGACGAGACCTTTTCTCCAGTATCCCGAATGAGCTCAATAAGGACATTAATAGCTTTAGCCACGGAACTTGAATTGGATGTTCACCAATTCGATTTCAACAGCGCCTATTTAAATGGGGACATCAAGGAAGAACTTTACGTCAGCGTCCCACCTGAGTTCCAGGAAATATTGACAGCAAATGAGAAGAAGATGTATGGCCCCAAGAAAGTTTGCAAGTTAAGAAAGGCACTATATGGTCTAAAGCAGAGCGGTCGCCAATGGTACAAAAAGATAGACTGCCAACTCAAAGAACTGAACCTTAAGCCACTTGCAACCGATCAGTGCGTGTACTTAAAACGTGAACGAAATGGGATCCTGATAGTATCGCTTTTCGTAAACGACCTCATAATAGCAACCAATAACTTCCAAATGCTTTCGCAGTTGAAGCATGAATTGTCTAACAAATTCCAGATGAAAGATTTGGGCAAGCTATCGTATTGTTTGGACATAGAATTTAAACAAAAGGGAAGACAAGACAGAGTTCACCATGGCCCAACCAAAGTATATAGCAGACATCCTGAAACGTTTCAACATGGAAAACTGCAAGCCTGTAAATACTTCAATTATAACAAGCGAAAAATTGTCTACAGAAATGTGCAACCACAGAAAGCGAAAAGGAAGAAATCTCTAGTGTGCCATATCAGAGTTTGGTAGGAGTCTTAATGTGGTTGGCAGTATCAACGCGCCCTAATATAGCATTCGCGGCACTAACCCAATATAACACAAATTTTGGGAAACAGCACTGGATGGCTGCAAAAAGGGTATTACGCTACTTAAAAGGAACCCAAAACCATGGCTTGCTTTATAAAAGAAGTGGCCAAAACCTACGGCTGACTAGGCCGCCAACATAGACGATCGCAGATCTTTCACAGGTTTTGCCTTCAAGTTCGCAAGTGCAGCAATATCATGGGAAAGTAGAAAGCAACGGACGGTTGCATTGTCAAGCACAGAGGCGGAGTACATGGCCCTATTAGACTCCTCAAAAGAAGCTATTCACCTTAGAAGTTTCCTAACCGACGTTTTGGGGCAACTGAAGACAACTGTCATTCACAACGACAATCAAGGAGCCGGTCAACTCTCTTTCAACCCCGTATTTGGTTGAAGAGGGAACTATATCCGTGAATTAAACCTCAACGACCGAGATGCCAGCAGACATATTAACAAAAGCACTTGGGGCCTCAAAACACAACACCTGTAAGACATCCTTGGGTGTATGTCCAGTCGATTAGCAGCTTACCAATTGAGGGGAAGTATTGGAAATACAATTGACAGCACTACCCGATATATATATGCGCGATATAGCGAGCATTGTAATTCTATAAGTATCTCCTGTAAGGCTTCTCTTCTGTTCTGTCACCTCTATCGCCAACAACGTGTAAAATCTGATTCCTATGAAACATCCTTAAATAAAACTATTACTAAACCTAAAAATGCAAAACCTACATTACATGATCCAATACACTGGATGAATACCAATATTTTGAAAACGAGAACGAAAAAATTGGTGCTCCCGTTTTCACTTTCACAAGATTATTTCGAATTCCAAAACGAAAAAATTTGTCTTGCCTAAATGAAAAGTAAATGCCTTTTTCTATATTAAATCGGATCTTATTTGCAAAAGGAAAAAAAAAAGATGACTTATTGGTTTATTGTCGTTCTTTTAAGACCTCTAGAAGATCAATTAGAAGATGTAATTATTTTTAATACGAGTAATTTCTGACCCCACCTCAAATTTGGATATCAAATTTTGCCGTCGGCAACAACAATTTTCGTTTTGGTGAACGACCGATAAATCCGACACCATAAGTTATCGCCTAAGCTGCCATACTTTTGATAAAATGAAAAAGCAAGTTAAAAATACTTGTATAATCAAACGGATGGCGATATATTTGTTGAAATTGGGTAAAATATGTTTTTTAAAAATTAATTCATTTAATTTAATTAGTTATGTGCTAAAAGTGTATAAAAAAAAACTGTTGAAAGCACCGGAATGAAATGAAAATGAAATCCATTGAAAAGGTGGCATCCCCTTAACTTGGCTTTTCCCCTTAATTCTTTTGGCTACGAAAGATGCAATTGAATATAAAAAAGACATTTTTTCGCGTTGTTTGCTGCTGATCAAACCTCAAATCACCTGTTTCGACAGCAAGAAGTTATGAGAAATGAAACGTTTCAAAAGCAAAACGATAACAAAAAACTTGTGAAAACCGGAGCACCTAAAAACGAAAATCTTGGTTTTGGTCCCAAAACGAAAACGAAAACCGAAAGTGAAAACCGGAGCATGCCTGATTATTATTGGAAATTGATATAACTGAGTACATCCGAAAACGCCAAAATCCAAAACAACACAAAATACTAAGACTCCTTTGACCATAACTGAAACCCCTTTAGTAGTTTTCGACATTACTGAAACCCCTCTTTGATAGTGGATACAATTGATCCATTACCTAAATCTGAAATATATCACACACATATGTAATTTGACGAAATATTTAGTTGCTATACCAATTGCAAAGTGTTTACGTGAGGGGCCGTTGTGCCGCAACTTTAAAAGCGCACCCGCGCTGAAGAGCGCACCAGCACTGAAGAGCGCACCCGCGCTGAAGAGCGCATCCGCGCTTGCCCCTCTTTGCGCTCTCGCTCCTTCGTCGGCCGTCGTCGATCGAATTTTTTTCTATTACCGTTGCCTGTTTTCTTTCTAAGTTAAGTTTTGTATTCGATGTAAGCAGCCCAATAAAGCTGAACGCGTTTTTTACCTGAACTGAAGACGCCCCCGACTTGTTATTTTCAACCCCCATTCTGGAGTTTTTTGCGGAACCAACGCCCCCCTAAACATTTTGGTCCTTCGAGCCGGATAATTCCTGGATTTTCTTCTGCCAGCAGTTCTCGGCATTGTTCCGCCAAAAGATAAGTACATTTTTCCGTCTTCATATCTCTGCCGATCTTCAGCAGTGATCCGAACATTAAATTTCGTTCACACTGCTGCAAGATTGTTTTTCCCTCCGTGTCAACTCCA